GGGATTTTCCCACCTGATCGTCGCGCAGGGGCCCGTCCCGCGCGTGCGGTCAGCCGCGACTCCTCTCGGGTCATCTCGGGTCATCTCAGGTAATCTCGGGTAATCTCGGGTCATCTCGCCGAGCAGGAGCCCGTCCCGCGCGTGCGTGTGGTCCGGTCCGAGATGGAGGCGGTCTTTCGAAGAGGCACGGACGGGTCCCGCATCGAGGCCTGAGATTTCCCGAGATTACCCGAGATTACCCGAGATTACGGGCGGGTCCCGCATCGAGGTCTGAGGAGACTGCGCGGGGGAGTAGACGCAGAGGGGAGAGGCTCCCTCCTCGGGAGGAGGCAACCCCTCCCCCCCTCCCCCTCCCCCCCCTCGCCTGCGCAGGTCAAGCCGCTCGCCAAGCTCGAGTCCGAGGCGCGGCTGCTTCGGCGGCTCGCAGATGCGCTGGCCGCCGAGCGAGGGCGGCGCGGCCCTGCGGAGGTTAGCGCGTGACTCTGTGCGACACAGTGTGAACACCACGGCTGTGCGCGTGTACGACTTGTGGTTGTGCGCCGCCCCCGCTCTGTCCTCTGTGCTCTGACCTCTGTCATCTCGGGTGTCTCCACCGCACGTCGTTCGTCGCTCGTCGGCTGTATGGTTATTCGTTGATTTTGTTCCCAAGCAATCCGTGCACCTCTCAAACGACAGCGACACCGACGACACTCAGCACTCAGGCGACACCGACGACACCGTCCTCAGGCACTCTCCCATCCAGCACGGCCAGCACCGCCGCCGCGATCTGCAGCCCGACGCGGTCCTGCGCCTCGCGCGTCGCTCCGCCGATGTGCGGCGTGCCGATGAAGCCCGGGCAGCCGAGGAGCGGGTGGTCGGCGGGCAGCGGCTCCTGGTCACGGCCAGACCGGTGTCAAGAGACGCTGTTCACACGCGAGGGGAAGAGGGGGTCGGCGGGCAGTTGGTCCTGGTCGAAGACGTCGGAGGCGTAGCTGGTGAGCTTGCCGGAGTGGAGGGCCGCGGCGACGGCAGCCTCGGGTGAGGGTGAGGAGTAGGGTGAGGGTTCAGGGTGAGTGAGGGTGAGGGTCAGGGTATGGGAGGGAGGGGGAGAGAGAGAGAGAGAGAGAGAGAGAGAGAGAGAGAGGGAAAGAGAGAGAGAGAGAGAGAGAAGGGGGGGGGGGGAGAGGGGGAGGGAAAGAGAGAGAGAGAGAGAGAGAGAGAGAGAGAGAGAGAGAGAGAGAGAGAGAGAGGGAGAGAGGGAGAGAGAGAGGGAGAGGGAGAGGGAGAGGGAAAGAGAGAGAGAGAGAGAGAGAGGGGGGGGGGGGGGAGAGAGAGAGAGAGAGAGAGAGAGAGAGAGAGAGAGAGAGAGAGAGAGAGAGAGAGAGAGAGAGAGAGAGAGAGAGAGAGAGAGAGAGAGAGAGAGAGAGAGAGAGAGAGAGAGAGAGAGAGAGAGAGCGGCGCAAGAATGCGGCACAACAGTGCGGCGCGGTGCGGGGTGGGGCGGGCGATGCGGCAGCCACCCTGCACGCCAGGCTGCCCCTCGACCTGCACGCGGAAGAGGGAGCGTGGAACCGGCCGGGCTGTGTCCGAAGCGAGGCCGGCGTGCAGCCGAAGTGCAGCTTAGAGGCCGAGGTGAGGCCGAGGTGCAGCTTAGAGGCCGAGGTGCGGCCGAGGTGCGGCTTAGAGGCCGAGGTGCGGCCGAGGTGCAGCTTAGAGGCCGA